ATATTTGAAAAACGGGGATTCGTCGTAGCTGGAGAATTTAGATCGTGATCAAATTCTTGTGCCCCGACGTTTAATTGATGTTGAGGTGTCTTATCGGACTCTTCGTAAGTATAGGAAAGCGCGATAACCTCAATTACAGTTCTCACTTTTTACCATGGAAATAAATGTCTTTGTGATTCAAGAGAAAAACTTGGATCAGATATTATTGTTAGATCGATAATAAGAACTTACTTGAAAAGTAAATCCCGAAAATACTCGTTAAAGTATTCCAACCTTCAACGCTGACCAATGCCATAGGTATTGATGGTTCGTAAAGCATACAAAAATAAGGACCTGGTGCCTTTAATTCATAAAATAAAATTTGTAAATCTAAAAAATAAATATAAAATATAAGCACATTAAAAAAATTAATGTAGAATAACTTACAATTCCCATCAGGTCTTTCAGCAATCAAAAATGGTGGAATAACTCCAACCAACAAAGGAAAAACAATACATATTGCAGTGTAATATTTCCTCCGTTTCCATTCTCCATCAGTCGTATGACATACTATTCTTCTATATATTTCATAAGAATAAATTAATACTGAAAGTCCTGCAGCAATACCCGATGCATTTATCCATAATGCCTGAATCCAGCAGAACGCAGTAGAAGCACGACGTAAATTAGCACCGAATATCCATGCACCAAGAACATGTGGTATATATAAAGTAACCATTGATATGCAAAAATAAGCAAAGAGTCGGTTGTATTCGAGACGTCCATAGATTATAGAGAGTGTGATCATTAAGAAGAGGGAAAATGTACATAGAATACCATACACTAATCCACCTCCAGTAATGTATGGATCTTGATTGTATGGTTGAGAATCCCTCTTGTACATTATTAAATTAGAAAATGAATTATCTAGTGAATTTGCTTCCATTATTCGACTTTTATGTTATCTAGATTAATCGTAAAAAAAAAAAAAAAAGTATAAAATTATGATTTATAAATTGTTATTTATGTAAACAAGTTACTGAATAAAAAAAAACTTGATTAAGAAGAAAGTTGTAAGAGAATTTCAATAAACTCTTACTAATTAAAAACATAAAAATAGAAAAGAAAACAAATTCTATGCTGTACAAGAAAAATTCTAGGACATTGTTTTACGTACGATCTTGTCATACGTACGTACCATAATAATAAAAGTGCAAATTATAAGTTTCGGAATTTATGTACCGACTATATAATATGCCGTTTCACTAAGTATTCTTCACTTTTGGATATCATAAAAGTTGTTCAAAACTGAAGTTTATTCGGTTCTACCTTAAAATTCCGAAAACCATTTTCCCGAAAGAACATAATACCCAACATTATAACTAATGCCGGCTAACTTTGTCGGTATTAGGTTCTTTTGGGAATCTGTCTTTCAGGATTTTTGTGGTAAAACCAGTTTATTCACTAACATTAATAGTAAATACAGTAGTAATAGACGGCATGCCAATTTCGATTTTTTACGATTCACATTGATTCACATTGTGAACAGTGTCATAATTCGGTTTATACAAATAAAAAAATGCCCGAAAATGAAGCCCAAGCATTGTCTAAACAAGAAAGGTACAGACAGAATAGTAAATCAAGTTGTTTTAATAAACGGGAGCCACAGTACATCATGTAGATGAGCCCAGGCAACTAAAATTTTTTTGGCATACGATCAATTTTTTCTGATTTCATTTATCGTCATGATTTGCACTAAGCATGGTGGACAATCTTCGTAATGCACAAGCTTTCCAAATTTGCTAAGCTGTAGTATTTTATATATTGGTCACCTGAATTTTAATTTATCAATAGCGATAACCTGATACGTAACGATAAGATTACATCACCAAATTTGATTGTCAAATACGTAATAGTTTATCCTTCTCTTGTATCAAGTATTACCATCGGGCAGCGGAGCGAAGCACGTATATTCCGGTTTAGCTTCGATGGTGAATGCAAGAGTGTATATATATGCATGTATAAAAATTATGGTTAGAATTAATGAATGTAATATTATTTATTAATGTCAAAAGGTCAGTTGTTTATGGTAAAGATTTAACTCCAGAACTCTCTTATTAGATAAAATAATATCTTTCACATATATGGTGTCTGATTAATAAAGTTGTAGTCAAAATCGTATCACAGCCACGTCGCGGATATCCCATCAAATGATCTTATATGATCTCATACTGTATATTAATCCTAAGCTACTGTATCATCTTTTCTATTTTTTTCTGCTCATGGTTTTCTTGTATTGCTTGCTCACACATATTATCTAGTGAAATCATCCATTTTTTGCTCTATCTGAATCGGTCCACAAATCTCAAGAGGAATTCCCAACTGTAAATAAGAGACTTTATACAATATAGGATTGGAAATTTTTTTAACTTAAAAGTAGACAATAGCAACCTAAATTGCAACCTTTTTTTTTTTTTATTGAAAAAACAAATTCTAGAAAGAGCTATTTCGCGGATTTTTATTCTCATGACTTACTTGTTAATATGATGATAGTGATAAAAGTTGTATTGAAAATTATCATAATTTTATTAGGAGCTACTGTAATAAATCTTGTTGCAGAACTTATTTGTTATTCCATTTACCTCAATATATGGTTAAAAGTCATCAAACAAATCATGTCGTGATTTCTCTCTATCCTGGCAGGTGCTTGAAAACATTTGATCAAAATTAAATAAGAATACTTTCAAAGTTGTATGAAGAAAGGTACATTTTTTGTTTACCAATGATAAGGCACCTTTCAATAATTCATCTCATGCTATTTCTCATCTCTATAATAGCCATGATACATGACTTCTTATCCATACATTGGTTGAAATTTTGCAGAGTTGAAATTTCGGGGATGAAATTCAGGTCTAGCTCGTGTACCACCAACGAAGCCTTACTCTCTTCGATTTTGAATATAATCTCATGCAATCCACCTCCGCACGAAAATTCGCTATAAGAAAAAAATTACAATGAAATAGACAATGAGTATATTGTCTAGTTAATAATTAATATCTTCAGCTTTTCGTAATTATCGCGGCAAACAACACCAACCCATAACATATTGTGTCTTAGATGAGGTCTGTGTTTTGACTGGTAACCACTCCAGGTGTACACTGCCCAGGCGCCTATTTGATGCACTATTAATATCAGTTTTTTGTAATAGATGAAATTGAAGTATCATTCAAATTGGGTAAATCTTATTGGCAAAGTATAATTTTTAAAGTAATTGGTGAGTAAATTTATATGATTTTAGATTAATTTTATTTCTAAATTTAAAATGCCATAGCAGAAAAAGAAAGAGTCTGCTCAAGAAATTGTCCCATACATAGCAAAAGAATAAAAAAAATAAATAAATAGATAATTTTTAATTGTATTTTTAAGATAACGAACGTACTACACATAAGTTTTTATGTGTCAGAGACACACTCTCTGCTATTCCGTACGTTTAGATTAAAAAATTTTTATACTCTCCATAAATACTAATGAACAATAATGGCTTTTTTAAAAGATCTAGACAAAAAGCTATCATCCTTAATCATTTTTATTCTTTATAATAAATACAAATATAGAAACAACAATGATAAAAACGAAGGAATTGGTAGGCTTATGCTTTATTATTAAATTTATTTGAAGTTAATTGATCTTCTAAATTTTGCTTACAGTTTTCACTATAGTTTACACATATATGTTAACGACAGCAGGTGTAATCACAAATCTTCAGTTTATGAATTGAAGGTTTTTTATCATACAAGTTACATTGTTTATAGTAGTAAAATATTTATAAATTAATAATATTTTTTATGTTTCTACTTTTAATCTCCTAATACAGACATTAATAATAATAATAATAACGAACTGATATTTGAATATCAAATCTATCCCACATACAAATTACAACTCTGGCTCTGTTGCAATTTAAGACTTACTAAAGAAGTTCGTAACTGGATTGCCGATCGCAAAGAGATGGATTACGTTAATAGATTATTTCAAAAAAGAGCTCATGTTCTGTAATCTGATATTTAAGGCATATAATTGAGACAAAGTTAGGAAATTTTGCCAACTCGAGTATTAACTAAAACTTTAACAAGAATTCTCATACAATTTTGTGTTGAAATCTGCTAATTACTTTATTTCTGTATAAACTAAATAATTAAGTATATGTTCTCAATGTACAGGTCTAGTTCCAATAGTAAACGAATTTATAATCATTAAATCTTATGGTTTACATAATGGTGAAAACAATTATTGCTTTAATGAGAGATAAGTGATGCTGGACCAAAGTTTATAAAATTTGTATGCACAAGAGTTTCGAAAGATAAAAATAATGTTGCCATATTTTGAATACGTATAATTTTTAAGATATTTGAATTTGTTTATTACTAAATATATACATACTTATCAAGGTCGTGTGACTGCTCCAGAAAATTTCTAACATTTATCCTTTACGAATACAGTAATAACATATCATCAATATTATCGTTATGTTTTTATATATCAAACATGCCAAAAGCGTTGTGCAGTTACTTATGCGGATAAAAAGGATTACACAAGAATACTACCTAGCTAGTGATTGAACTTGTCAGCTCGTAACTCAAATAATTCAGGTTTATCACGATTCGAATCATGGTTCACGAGTTAAAATAGTCACGCAATTGTTAACGTTAAATATATTAAATATGCTTGCTTTTTTAAATCGTAACGAAAAATTGGATTTCGAAATATTAAGTTTATTACAGTCTCAGCTCTTTAAAAATCTAATTTTGAAATGATTAAAAAACTAACGTTGCTATTTAGATTTTTTTTAGGGACCGGGTCTGGTACATATCTGCTTTTATAAATCGTATTTAAATGATCTGAATAAACTCGAATAAATTGACTCAATCAAATGATTCGAGTACTCTCCTGAGCTTAATTCGTTCGTGAATCACGAATTTAGATAAGTCCAATCTCTAAATCTACTATTCAGGATTCTCAATTCACGTGCATATAATTTATCTTTACTGTATACTATTTTTTTTTATTAATAAATTTATTTTCTCAAAAATTTCCTGACTGAAGTAGGAGACAACAGCAAAAAGAGATTATTTGAATATCTTAAATAATAAGCTGATATAGGTGACACTAGTCCAACAATAAAGTTTTGGCAACCTATCTGCTAGCCGATAGGTCACATATTGGTCACTGAAATCCAGTAGAAACCGCGCGATACAATAGCTCACTGATACTTGGCGCGTATCTGTGACCTATCAGCTTGGCACATATCAGCAAATTTCAGCAACCTATATATGGACTTTCTACAAAAGATATCGGTTAACATATATTGACATTAATCTATATGATAATTACAAATTTTAAGCAATTTATGCTACATATATACATATATATATAGGTTTCAGCTTGTATATATAGATTTCGGCTCAGTATTTTAAAGTTTTATATAGGTTTTTGATAGTTTAGCTTGTGTATCTGCTAGCCGATATCATATTTTACTTTTATTATATTTAATGATACTTACAAAATTTAACCAATTTATACTACATATATACATATGTATATATATATGTTTCTGCTTTAAATATATAGATTTTTGCTTAGATATTTAAAGTTTATATGGATTTTTGATGATTTGGCTTGGGTATCTGCTGCTGATATCGTATTTTTTACCTTTTATATTTAACAACATCTACAAAATTTTAAGCAATTTAATCCTTGTATAGAGTTAATACCTCTATCCGGATTTATATATCCGGATATATTCTATGTCATGTGATATAACGTGACATAAGGTTTTTAAATCCGGATATAAATAAATCCGGATTTAAATTTAAATCCGGATTTATACTATGATAAAACCGGATAAATCCGGATATAAAAAATATATCCGGATTGAGGTATTAACTCTATCCTTGTATATACAGTATATATACTGTATATATAAGTTTCTACTAGACAAATATTAAGTTTAGCTTGAATATCTGCTAGCTAGTATATCTATCTTTTATAAGATATATGTAACATGTATACATTTGTTTTGCATTACAAAATTGTACTTATACTAATTATATATATAATATATTTAAAATTTACACTAATATTAATTATATATAATTACTAAAAATAAAATTTGTCTTGTCTCATTGCTTATTATACTCTTTATCTTTGTCACTAATATAGTTGAAACTACTAGTATAGTGCAAGATATCTATACTCAATAGTTATACAAAGTGGTTCAATTTTTAAATGGCTATAACTTTTTATCTAAGAAGTTTAAAAAAAATTTGACTAGTAACTTTATAGAGCTACATCAGCTCTACGTGGGTGCCAAATTTCATTTCAAAATCTCATCACTGTAAAAAGTTTTAACAATTTGAAAATTGAAATTTTATATATAAATTTGTAAATTTATATATAAAATTTCAATTTTCAAATCACTAAAACTTTTTACAGTAATGAGATTTTGAAATGAAATTTAGTACACACATAGAGCTGATTTAGCTCTATAAAGTTACTAGTCAAATTTTTTTTAAACTTTTTAGATAAAAAGTTATAGCCATTTAAAAAATTGAAATAATTCATATAACTGTTAAATATAGATGTTTTGCATTATAGAAACATTCAAATAACTATATTTCTTGGAAGATTTTTTAGAAAAATTTTTGGATAATTTTTTTGAAAATAAAAACCTTTAAAAAAGCTTTTAGAAGTTTTGTTTTTTTGGCAATGCTTTTTGATGTGAATTTAGATTTAGAGTTAGATATATTAGATATAAAGTTAAACATATTAGATATAGAATTGGATATAGTAGTAGAGTTATATATAGTAGTAAAGTTAAACATAAAGATAGATATAGAAATAGGTGTAGAGTTAGGCATAGAGTTAGGTATAAAGTTAGATGTGAAGTTGATATAAAGTTAAATAATCTGGAATTGTTTGTTTAGAATTATTGATTCTGTAATAATAATAAATAATAAAAATTAATAAATATATATATTACAACTCTTATAAGTATACTTTAAATATATATAATTGTTAGTTATAAGATTACTATGTTTAGATTTAGAAAATATTATTAAATCTAAAAAATACTAAATTAATAAAATTTATAAACTTTTAAATATTTTAAATAAGCTTTTAAATATTTACTGTAGTGCACTGACCAAAGTATCCCCTATTTTGAGTATCTCCCACTTAAAGTATCTAGGTACTTTGAATAGCACTTTTTTTTTTTGCCAAGGACAGTACCCAGATATTTTATAATTATCGAAGTAGGTTTTTTGTAAAAGACCCAAGTACTTTGATATGTTTATTACTTATACATAACTACCGGTATGTTTATTTGCCCTAGCACTAGAATAATCAAACAAATTAAAATTTAAGATTCCAGGTTTTAAAAATTTTTATGCAAAATGTCTATGACTTTAAATTTTTTTTGAATAAGTTACCTGGTAATTACGAACACTATATCTATACTAACTTTCATGGTAATACAATTCAAATTTAGAATTGCTTAAAAAGTTTTTATTAATAGTCTTGAGTTATCATGATGAAATTTCGACAGAACAAAAAGTTTTTAATGTTACAAATTTGATATTGATAGAATTAACAAAACAATGCATAGTTTACAAAAATGGACCTGATCTTTTAATAAACCAGGATGTTTGAATTAAAATATAAGCAGTAGAATATAATAAGTTATATAATTAAATATTGTTTTCTAGATGATAAATATAAGTATAGCAAAATATAAAATTGATTTTATTCAATTAGATTTAATTGTTTAAGCAAAAAAATTTTTTTTTTGCTTAAAATCCTATATTAAAATTTAAAGCTCGTGTAAACAACTATCTAGCATTAAACAGCTATCAGTAAACTTCAATTTTTTTTATAATTTTCTGGTTTTTAGTTCTATTAGTTCTAATTTTAAATGATTGTTATTTCTTCACCTTCTTCGTAGTAATTATCAAAAACTAACCCACTTTCATTCTCTTCATTTCCGCCATTGCTTCTACCATCATTTTTACTATCATTTTTACTATCATTTTCATCATCATTTTCATCATCATTTTTACCATCATCATTATTATCATTTTCACCATTATTCAATTCTTCTTGACTTTCAATTTCTCTTTCTGGGTTTGTTTGGTTCATAATTTTTGCAAAGTCAAAAATTAGATCATTTTCTGTTTTGTCTATCACATTAGTGATTCTTCAACATTTAAAGGACTTTCTAATCATATTAACATCGATAGCTTCCCAGGCCTCTTTTACCCAAGTAGTAACCAAAAGATAAGAAGGTCGTTTTATTTTTCTAGTTTTAGTGTAGTCTTTGATTCCTTCATCTATTCATTTGTTATAAAAGTTTCACATCTATTAAGAAATTAATTAGAAAAAAAAATTAATGATTAATTAATAAACTTAATCATATAAATGCTACAAAGAAAAATGAGCTTTCAATTATATTCTGTGTACAATTAGCTATCTATAGAAAATTTATTATAATAATAGATTTTTTACAAATGTCTAACTAAATATAGAATATAATTAAAAGCATGATTATAAGTTTCTCTTGGTTCGCATAATCCAGTTAGATTAATTTTTATTCATATATGATAGATTTTTTTTACCTTTGATTTAAAAAACTTGTTCATAGAGATATCAAGAGGTTATAATTGAGATGTTAAACTACCAGGGATTAAAGCCCAGTTAGTATTTTTTTCAGAAAACTACCGTTTACAGAGTCTGTTTTAAAACTAGCAAATAAATCCAGAATTAACAAGAAACGTAGGTTATTTTTACATTGTGCATGCTGAGTCCAAATGTTCTCTACCCATCTAAAAATATCAAGTTAATTAAATAATAATAAAAAATGTAGCAACTTATACAATAATTAGAAATTTTTTAGTTTTTATATTCACCATAACATCTTATTTTTATTCATCCATCCTTGCAAGTTTGCATGTACAATAATGCCATTAAGAAATTCTTCACGAAGTACTTTTACTAACTTAAAAATTATTAGAGGAGGTAATTTAGTGTTATCGGCTATATAGGCCAAAACAACAGTAAAATTCAAACGTTTATGCCCAGTTGATAGAATTAATATAATCTTAGTACCTCTTTCTTTAATTGTAGTAGTGCTTGGCATGCTAAAAGCCATGGCAGTCTTGTCTATATTACTGATTAAAGACAAAAGGTAATTATGTTTATATCACTTAAAAAGCACAATAGACAAAAACTCATTTTGATCCTTAATATAACTCTCAGAGAGGTGTTGGGCAACAGTAGTTTGACTTCAGTTTACTAAATTATTCCTAGACATAAATTCATCTACCTATTTTTGTAAAAATTTGTTACTTTGCATTCTCTCATATTTTTCTTGGTAACAAGATATAACATATAGAGTGTGAGCTTTAGCTTGAATCATAAAGCAGCTTATAGTTTTTTGTTGAGCTTAAACATCTTGAAACTATTTAATTAATTCAGCTTCAAGCTTAGGATACTTTGAATAGGCCTCATTTGATAGTTTTTGTATATAAGGTGCAACTTTCATTAGTTCTGATTTTTGCTTATCTATTGCCAAAGTTGCTTTGGCTCTATTTTAAATTCATCAGCAGTTAAACGTTTACTATGTCCTTTTTCATAGTAAGCAATTATCATCAACTTTTTATGTGCTGACCATGTTCTTTTTTTTTTTTTGCATTGTGTGAGTATGTCAAGCTTTAAAGTTTCTATGAACTATCCTATTTTTTGTATATAGTTTGTACTGGTATAATATTGAGTTTGTCTCAAGTCTTATTAGTGACTACTGGTGGTGAGTTAGTGCAGAGTGCTTCCACTAATGCCTTGTTACCTTCAGAACCAAGTTTATTGAAGATTTAAAGTAGTTAGTACTAGTATCTTGCAAAGGTACTTTGGATTCAGTAATTTTTTTTTTTTTTTTTAGGTTTGACCCACAGATCAAAGTAAGCTAGTAATATTTTGCTACTCTGTTCATAATACTGGTATTTAAATTTAAAGTTTAAAAAATTTTATGCACGTCGTGAAGTTCATTTTTATATTGTTATTCATATTACTTAAAAGATGTCATACACAGTATCTCATAGGTACTTTATAAGTTTTTTTTGAGTTAGATTGTATTAGACCCTGGGTACTTTGATCAGTGCATTATGGTATATTAATGTAATATTATATCTAAAATTATTATTACTATTGAATCAATATTATTATTAGATTTATAGCTATTAGATACCAAACTATCAGATTTAGGATTGTTAATTTTATTTGATTCTAAATTATTACTATTGAACTATAATAAAGAAATATTTCTGTTATTATAGTTATAAAATAAAGAAATTGTCTAATAAAAAGCATTAAATAGTAGTTTAGTATTATTTTTTCAAGTGTTATCTTTATACAGTATTGGTATTTTACTATTTTATTGAATTGGTTTGTTAATACTATATTTTAGCTTTATGGAAAATTCTTTTGCATTATTTAAAAAAAAAAGTAGAATTAGTCTAATATAAATATTATCAAAAAGAAATAAATTTAAAATAAAATATAAAAATTATCTTTTTTAATCTTTATAATAAAGTATAAGCTTTAATTATATAGTTATTATCTACTTTTTTATCTTCTTTATATAGATATTTATTATTATTAATTAGTAATCCACAAATCAACTAGAAAGTGATCATAGTGAAATATAATGTGGATTACTTATAAAAATTAGAACTTTGTAAATATGGTGTATGTAAATTTAAAACTTTTTTTTATACTAAGTTAATCAATTTTCTAACTTAAGAAACTTTTGTAGAGCTTGTTGAGATATATTTAATGGTATTATATCATCTAAATTAGCCTGGTAGATGCCAAAATATCTTTAAAAAACCTTTTTTTAACTATATAAATTTCTTTAAAACAATACTATTGTTTTATAAAGAAATTTATATAGTTAAAAAAAGGTTTTTTAAAGATATCTTGATATCTATTAGGCCAATTTAGATGATTTACCACCATTAGATATATTTCAACAAACTCTACAAAAGTTTCTTAAATTAGAAGAGTGATTAATTTAGTATAAAAAAGTTTTAGATTTATGCTTATAATATTTGCAAAGCTTCAATTTCTATAAGTAATTTGTATCTTATTTCACTATAATTACTTTTTAGTTAACTCGTGAATCACCAATTAAGCTTTTTTATTACAAGTTCAATATCTGTTTTAAATAGTTTATCAAAATTAGTAATAATTTTTCACTGTGCAGACTGTGTGCAGCACACAGAAACAAAATTTTGTATACACTTTTTTTGAATAGATGTGTGAATATCATACAGAAAAATTGGCATTTTGCAAATAGTATATATAGTTGCAAATAGCTTCTTATGTTTTTTTTTTTTTATTTGCTGCACAGAAAAATCTATAAATTGTATAGTATCCACACAGTAAATTTTAATTGAAAAATTAATACTGATCAGAATAATAAATTAGTTCAATTACTACTTTAGCAAGATCTTGTTTTTAATTTTTTTATTAACAGAACTTGGGCAATACTTTTTAATAGCAGAGTCTTTAATTTTAATCTTACACTGCAACTTATTTATTCTTTTTTCTTTTTTTAAGAAATAAAAATGCAAAAAAGCAAGTATATATAAAATTATAATTTATACAATAAAAAAAAATAAAAAATAGAAATAAAAAAATTTATATTTTGTATGCAAAAGTTTTTTTTAGTTTGTTTTTTATTTGCTTTTAATTTTTCTTTATCCACTTTAATTCTTGCAGTTGTTGAAAGACTTTTATAGTTGTTTAAAGCATCTAAATAACTCTAAAATATAAATTTTTTTAATTATACAAATATTAAAATAATATAATTTTAATATTAAAATATATATATATATATATATATATATTATTCTTTAACAAGCTTGCTAAGCACTTTGAGTAAACAAATTCTATATTAGACAGAAAAATTTTTTCTATTCTATAATACAGATAGTTTAATTCTTTAAAATTAGCACTATCTAGTTACTATTTAGTTCTAGATATACTCTGTTATACTGCTTAAAACTTTAAACAGGTTTTGGTGATAGCTTATTTAGAATTCATACCAAAAAGGCAATATTAAAACAATATAATTTATAATTTATATAATTTTTATATTATTATTATATTATTATTTTACTATTATTATTATTGTACAACTTATTAATTCTAATTAATTTAATCTATTACAGTTTTTTTTTTTTTTAAGTATTAAAGTAACCTTTCTGGCTCAAGACTTTTTATTAAGTTATTAACTTCAAATTATAATTACAACAAGAGTATATCAAACCATATGTGTACTTTTGGTGTCTAATTTAAGTAGTCTACCCAAAGGTTCTATACTATCTGCTATATCTGCACTCTAACTATAGAGAATATTTATTTGAACTCTCTAGTTATAACTACTATCTATTCCTAATCTAACCAAGATGTTACTTACTATTTAGTAGATTTTGCAATACCTATAAATTTCATACCTACCTTAGAACTTACTAACTATTGGCTAGTCTATTCATGAAATAAACCTAACAGAGTAGTTCATGTTCCACATATATTTTTATCTGCATATTTAGTAATTTCCTTTCTAATTAATATCTGCTATTACTAAGTTTATATCT